CCTCACCCTTGGTGCGCAAGGGGAAGACCACGGTGTACCACGAGTAGTCGTCGACAACCAGCAGAAAGTTCCGCTCACAGCCCTGTCCACGAACGCAGGCTGGGCCCCACACGTCTAGGTGGAGGGTTTGCAGAGGAGTCTCTGTCGGGGGAAACGAGGAGGAGTGAGGAGCGGCGCGCTGCCGCCCCTGGACGCAAGGAAGGCAGGGCGGCGCAGGCAAGGCAGGGAGGGGAGGGAGAGACCTAGGAAGACCAGACACAAGGAGGCGACCGTGCAAGCCACATAGACGTGGCAGGGAGGGGTGGCCCAGGCGGTGGTGCCAAAGAAGAGTCTGGTGCGACAGGGAGCGACACTCACGAGGGGAGGCTACCTGACCTGACGAAGAAACCTTACCAGTAGCAGCTACCTGAGGAGGCGCAGTCGTCAGTGTGTAAAGACTCAACCCTGGCCAACGGGTGAACGTGGCCAGGTGGCGGCCGGTCCGGGAGCACGTATAGATCGCCAAACGTTGTCCTCCAGGGGTAAAGGTGTGAACCCACTCGTCCTGGAGAACTGCGTTGCTCACCAAGTTCGTAGAGAACGAGGGGAGGTGGAAGTCTGTCAGTGAGTCAGACGGAACCGCTGGGCACGGAAGCACAGTGGTGGACCGTGCAAGAACTGGGACCCCTGAGGGGTCAGCCAGAGAGACTGCAACAGGTGCAAGGAGTGGTGTGAGTGCAGTACTGTCACGGAAGAAGCAGCAGGAAGCACCTCAGTCCAGTGTGAAGGTGTGCAAGGCCCCAGCAGGCGCAGTACCTGAGGAAGCAGACTCGCTAGCACCTAAGGCAGTAGCCTCACTAGCACCTAGAGGAGCAACCTCTATACCGGGGTCGTACTGCACACACAGGTGACAGTCACTCTCAGCACCACCAGGCAAAGCAGACATGGCAGTAAGGATGGCGTCATAGTCTAAAGCAAAGACAGCAACGCCCGACCTAAGCAGCTCAAGCCAGGGGGGGATCTCAGCCTCGTCGCAAAACTCTGTGCGCCAGGCGTTAGTCAAATAGACAAAGAAGCGGGACTGTGCATGACCAGGTGTCCTACAGGTCTGACCAGCTCGACGACCTGTGCGAATGACGTACGGGCAGCAACCCAGACTCGGAGATGGCCCACGCTGGTAAAGCCACTCACGAAGCTGCCGGGGCGTAAGGGTCGGACGCCGCTGTAGCTGCATCTGGCCACCGCCAGACACTCCGCACCAAACAGCGTCACAGTGACTGCTACTACGGCCGCCACCACCCCCACTGCTGCCACCACCGCCGTCACCACTCCCACCGGTACAACAAAGGGAAGTCATGGCGGGCAAGCTAGGAGGAGCGCGACCTTTAGGGCAGTACGGAGTGGAGGTAGTAGCACGAGTAGCAGCAGCAGCAGTAATAGCAGCAGGGCGGTGCGTGGACAGAGCAGGGCGGCGTGCAGCCAGAGCAGGGCAGTAGCAGGCAGCAGCAGGTATAGCTCCTAGGGCAAAAGCACCTAGGGCCTTTTTTAAAAATTATTATTTTAATTATATATAGGGTTTAGCAGGGCGCTGGCGCGGGGCAGGGCGCTGGCGCAGGGCAGGGCGCGGGCGCAGGGCAGGGCGCTGGCGTAGGGTAGGGCGCCAACGCGTGCAGGGCAGGGCGCTGGTGCAAGCTGCAGCAGTGCGTGACGCAAGGGGCAGCAGAGCGCGATGCGACGGGCTGCCTTAGGGCGCGACACGCGGGCTGCAGCAGAGCCCGACGCGCAAGGCAGCAGTGCGCGACTCATGGGCTGCCGTAGGGCGCGACACGCAGGGCCGCAGCCCTGGCACAGGGCAGGGCGCTGGCGCTGTCGAGAGTTTAACGAATGAGAGAGTTATGTTGAAAACGAGGGCCTAGGCTTAGGAGCCTAGGCCCGAACTTAGGTGTCGAGTAGGTTTCTCCTAGGCGAGGTATCGAGAGGGTTGGAAGAGAAGTTGGGAGAATGATTTTCACGATAGGTTTCAAGGAACATATAGCATAGGAAACAAAGTTGGTGCACCACCTACAAAGCACAATAACTACACTACAACTACAAGCAGTTATAAAATATGACAAACATATTTCGACACGCCCCCATAATGCTTGTAGGTAGAAATGTAGTTACCCCCCTGAGGGGGTACACCATGCAAAATAATAACAAGCAACAGCAGGTACTGCAGACAGGCTAACATTGAAGAGTTACCCCCTCCATCTCCTCACCCTCCTCCTTCCCCTCCCCCACACTGCTGCAGGAGCAGCAGAGAAGGGGGGAAGAGAGGAGAGGTGGAGGGACGGCTGCATGTTGCCTCACACCCGCCACCCCGGTACCACTCCCCTGCTCCCCCACATCCTCACACCCTCCCCCCCCAGCGGCAGCTGCAGCGGTGGGACTGAAAGAAGGAGGAGGGGAAGGGAGAGAGTTGACCCAACACTCCAACACCCGCCACCCCCATACCCTCCTCCCCACGGCTGCAGGGAGACAAAGGAGGAGGGGGGTGGGCGGGAAGAAAGCCGCAGAGCGGCTAAACGGTGTCGGCGCAGATGGATCAGGGGCGGCTTCAGGGAGAGCAGGGGCGGAAAGGCCCGTCGCGTGCCAGTGCCACGGGGCGCACGACGGGTAGGATAAGAGAAAGGGCCCGATCGTGTGCCTCGGGGCGCATGACGAGCAGGGCACCATCGTGTGCCACGGGGCGCACGATGGGCAGGTTAAGGGCACCGTCGCGTGCCACGGGGCGCGCGACGGGCAGAAAAGGCGTCACACGCCAACCGGGGGCGGGACAAGGAAAAATCGTCACGCGCCCTAGGCGCGCGACCGGAAAATCTTAGCAGCGGAAGTGTAGGGCGGGCCCACAGGCCAGGACGTAATTCGCTCCGATAACATGTCGAGAGTTTAACGAATGAGAGAGTTAAGTTGAAAACGAGGGCCTAGGCTTAGGAGCCTAGGCCCGAACTTAGGTGTCGAGTAGGTTTCTCCTAGGCGAGGTATCGAGAGGGTTGGAAGAGAATTTGGGAGAATGATTTTCACTATAGGTTTCAAGGAACATATAGCATAGGAAACAAAGTTGGTGCACCACCTACAAAGCACAATAACTACACTACAACTACAAGCAGTTATAAAATATGACAAACATATTTCGACAGGCGCAGGGCAGGGCGCTGGCTCAGGGCAGGGCGCTGGCGCAGGGCAGGGCGCTAGCGCAGGGCAGGGCGCTGGTGCAGGGCAGGGCGCTGGTGCAGGGCAGGGCGCCGGCGCAGGGCAGGGTGCTGGCGCAGAGCAGGGCGCTGGCGCAGGGCAGGGCACTTGCGCAGGGCAGGGCGCTGGCACAGGGCAGGGCAGGGCGCCTGCGCAGGGCAGGGCACTGGCACAGGGCAGGGCGCTGGCGCATGGCAGGGCGCTGGCGCAGGGCAGGGCGCCGGCGCAGGGCAGGGCGTGCGCGAGGCAGCACGACTTGGGGCAAGGCAGGGCGTGAGCGGGGCAGCGCGACGCAGGGTAGTGGGGTAATGCGGTAACCGCAGTCGGAAGCTAAGTATGGTGGGCCCAGAGAAAAAAAAAAAAAATGGTCCTACGGATCGACTGCTCGGAAATCATGTCAAGACAGCAAGCAGGAATGATTGCATTGAATGGAATGTGGGTACAAGTACTAACCCTAACCTTGGGTTGTACCCCATATGGGCTACCCCACTATAGCCTACACAGAACTAACACATATATAGTTTGACATGCACAAGCAAACATAATGAAGGCTAACAACAAAACTGTCAAAACATGTTTGTATGTTGTTATTTCTGCCAGGCTACAGTGAGGTGCTTAGTATAGAGTACAACCCTACTTAGGGTTTCATACTTGTATCTTTTTGTTGCTGGTTCAACCTCATTCCTGCATACCGTCATCGCTTGGATAGTAGAAATATATGTCTTATCTCGTACACTACTCAAAATGCTTGAATTGTCTTGTATTTGGGATAGTTTAGGGTGTCTTATAAGTCTTATAAACGGAAAAAATATAAGAACTCTGTCACACTTGCACAGTGTGTAGAAACCACCCCTGTACCATTATACATTTGAATTAGGGCGACCTCGGTGGTGATGCATGCAGCGCCCCCACTTGCCACGTGAGGGATGCAGCAAAGCTGCCACTGGTGGCAATATCCCTCCGTGCTGGCAGCATCTAATGATGCTGCCAGCGTCGTTTTGCTGCGAGCAGCGCTTGGATGCTTCCAGAACGCTGCTGGCAGCACGATGGCAGCATAAGGGCTGTCCTCTACGAGGAGATTCCTCGTAGAGGAGCGGCTCGGCACCTTTGGAAGGGGCACTGTGGCTTGGGGGGGTAGTCGGGCTTGAGCTTCATTTGGTGCTCAAGGAGGTTGAGATCTCAACTCAACCTTTGCTCTCGGCAGGCTTACCGTAACCATGCGCAGCAAAGTCTCCGCAGGCACATCCTCACCTCGCCCTCATGTGCAGGTGAACAACTACGGGCGAATTAACTCGCCCGGTGATGACATCCGTATAGCCATGGCGAAGAATACGCACAAGGCGGGAAGATCTACCGCGACCTCCCATGCGAGCAGTGACGGGGACGATGGCGACGAAGGACATGGCGGCGACGATGGCGACGGAGAACACGACGACGAGGATTGGCCGGAGAACGGCCACGACGATAGCGCTTCGGGGGATGAAGCCCCCGCCGACATCGATGAAGACGAATGGTGGAGCGGTTGGGAGCGACGACGAAATGGAAGAGTGGCGGCCTGGTGATTCGGACAACGACGAGGGTGTCGATGCTGATGGTGAGCACGGGAGGCAGCTGCGCATGCGACGGGAGCGACGGGCGATGTCAGTGCGGAGGCTGATGACGAGGCGGATGCGGAGGCTGACGACGAGGCAGAGGTGGAAGCGGCACCCGATGCTGTTGCGCCCGCGGATGTGGTCGCAATTGCGGATGCGGATGCTACGGAGGGAGGTGCCGATGACGACCCGTGGAGCATGGCGGGTGACGACGATGTTCCGCTTCTGAAGCGGAGGCTGCGTCATCGCTTACAGACCAAGCCGAAGCATGCCCGCGTGGTGCTCTCTGATGATGACAGTCCGGGGGAGGAGCTTCAACCGCGCATCTCTGCTGCAGAGAAGGGGAAAACCAAGGTCGCTGATGCCCCTGCTAAAGCCACCATTTGTCGCTGCCCAAGCACCAAGAAGCAGAAGAACGACGGCGACCCCGGATCAAGCACGGGTGCTGCTAAGAAAAAGAAGAAGGGGCCAAACAAGGACGACATCATGGTCAACGAGGCGCTCGGCAGTGACGATGACTACGCGGAGGCGGCAGGCCCGATTCCTTCATTCCCTGAGAAGGCGAAGCCGAAGGACCCCACCCTCCATAATCCCAACTCCCGTCCACCTTCCCCTCGCAGCAAGGACAGTTTGAAGAGGCACCGCGGATGGACCGTACACGAGAAGCTCAAGTGGGCGCGCCGCTACCAGGAGCTCGGCTCATTGAAGAAGACCTCGCTGGAGTCTACCGTATCTATCGCCTGCATCAGACGCTGGAGTGCGGAGGGTGCTGCAGGCATCTACAAAGGAGCGGCTAACTGCCGCAAGTGGATGCACGGGGGGGGGGGGGGGGGGGGGCGCCACGCACACTACCCCGACATGGAGGAGGCGTTGTACCGCCACGTCTGCCTGCAGCGCACTAATGGGGTGGCCATCTCGGTGAAGGACACCCAGAAGTGGAGCCGCGAGTGGATGAAGAAACACCACCCCGGCAAGAACTGGAACGCGAGCTCTCACTGGAGCCAGCGTTTCCGTGACCACTGGAACCTGGTCATGCGTGTGAGGACCAAGGTCGGCCAACGATTATCGGCTGGTGAGTGTTAACTGCCTTGAATTCCTTGCCCCTTGCTTGACTGCATGTTCCTTGCTCTTTGTTTCTAACCATCCCATCCTGCCATGGCGTGTGTTCCCTTTGTAGAGTGCGCTAAGGACTGCGAGTCGTTTTGGAAGTTCGTGCGCATCAATCGGGCGCGGCACAACATCGACCTGGCCCGCATCATCAACGCGGACCAGACGTCGCTCTTCGTTGAGATGCCGGTCGAGAGGACGATCGAGCACCGTGGCGCGCGCTCAGTCCTAATCTGCACTGCAGGATAAGAGAAGACGCGGTTCACGGTGATGCTCGCGTGCACCGCATCCGGGGAGAAGCTGCACCCTTGGGTTTGGTTCAAGCTCAAGAACGTGCCCAACTGTGAGATTCCGGAAGGTAAGCTCAAGGAATTCAAGACCGTAAGCCTGGTGAGCCGGCCCTCCTCGATTGACGCCCGTCTATCCCCTATGTGCTCGGCAAGAATCGTATGCCAAGCACAGGACAACGGGTGGATGGACGAGAGTGCTGTGCAGACCTGGCTGACCAAGGAGGTGCTGCCCCATCTGAACCCCCAGTGCGGCCAGAACGCAAGGTGTGCGATGCTGGTGTTGGACTCTTACCGTGGCCACATCATCCAGACCATGCTCCAATCTTACTGCACCCAAAGCATCACCCCTGCAGTGATCCCAGCTGGTTGCACGAGCCAGATTCAACCCCTTGACGTCAGCATCAACCTGTGCTTCAAGGCTGGTGTGCGAGCGCGCTACGCCAGGTGGTTCATGCGTGAAGGGATTTACCTGAAGACGAAGAAGGGTGAGTAGCCATGTGAAATCAACTTCTGCTCTGTTTTCTTTCCATGTCTCTAACGACTCGCTACCCATGCCTCTGTCCGACACGCAGGGAACCTGCGGAGGCCTCCGCACCCCGTGGTGCTGCAGTGGATCGCGGAGGCATGGGATCAAGTCCCCAAGCAGGTCATCATCGACGCGTTCCGCCACTGTGGGATTTCAAGCAAGCTGGACGGGACGGAGGACCACCTGGTGATGTCTCACCTGCGCGCCAGGAGCACTGTCAATGTCTTTGAGGACATGAGCCTCGGCAGAACCACGGGCGACAACACGCGCCTGCTTGGGCAGGCGCCAGAGGAGGAGGAGGAGGAGATGCAGGCGGAGGGTGTGAGGGAGGTGGTCGTGGCAACCGGCCTGGAGGTGCTGTACCAGGAGACCCCCAACTGCCGCAGAGCGGCGGCTGAGGCTGACCGCATGATCGAGCCTAGGGAGACGGCCAGGCATGCCTGGCGAGTGCCAGACTTGGGTGTTGACCCTGCTGTTAGTGCAAGGGAGGAGGCCGTGACTGAGGAGGGCTAGGTAGAAGTAGATATTCATAGATGTACATACATTTACCCCCTAAAGGAACTAGTGATCGTTTAGAAGACACCCCCTGTTTATAAGAAAACCCCTAAACCCCTATTTTGAGTTTAAGACATATATGTCTTATCTCGTACATACAAATAGGTGTCTTATAATGAAACTAGCCTGTTTATAAGAGACACCCTGATAATAGAATACCCCTGTCTACTATTCAGCACCGTCTACTATCCGGGCGATGATGGTAGCTAACTGTCGACATGGTTTCAGAGCAGGTCCATCTGTAGAACCACTCGTTTAGTTCCGTTCTGCCCGTTTTACTGCCCGAATCGTGCCCCTAGGCAATCCCCTTTTCCTGCCCGAATCGCGCCCCTAGGCTGGCCGTTTTTTTTTGTCCGAATCGAGCTCCTAGGCAAGCCATTTTTCCTACCCGAATCGCACTAGGCGATCCGTTTTTCCTGCCCGAATCGCGCCCCTAGGCAGGCCGTTTTTCCTGCCCGAATTGCGCCCACACGCAGGTCTATTTTTCCTGCCCAAATTGCGCCCCTAGGCAAGCCGTTTTCCCTGCCAGAATCACGCCCCTAAGAGATGTTTTCTTGTGCGCCCTACAGCCCGGGCGCCCGTGCGCCCTGCAGCTCTGCAGTCCACGCGCCGCCCTGCCCTGCAGCTCGCGCGCTGCCCTGCCCTGCAGCCTGTGTGCTGCCTTGCCGTGCAGCCAGCGCGCTGCGCTGCCCTGCCCTGCCCTGTTGCCCGCACGCCCTGCAGCCCGCGCGTTGCCCTGCCTGTGCAGCCCTGCAGCCCGCACGCTGCCCTACCTTGCAGCCCGCGCGCCACCCTTTCCTGCAGCCTGCGTGCTGCCCTGCCCGCTTGCTCGCGCAGCCCTGTAGTCCGCACACCGCCCTGCCCTACATTTCAACAGGAGTTGTGTTAGGCCCCGTCCTTGCTTGGGCGGAGCCGACCTCGTGTCCGGTGTACGGGGGAGTGCAGCGGACCTGCAGTAGTGGGAGAGCTGGTCGACGGGGGGGGGTCGACCTGCGCAGGGGCCACTGCACTGGCGCCAACTTCAGGGCGCCGACTTTGGGATGGTCGACTAGGCGGTCGACCTGACCTGGTGGTCGACAAAGGAGGGGCCAACGTCGACCTCGACAAGGGAGCCTCAGGACGCCGAGCAGCTAGGCGTCGAGTAGTTGGGCGTCAACTTGGTGACGCCGACTTCGGGTAGCCGACTGGGTGTGGTCGGCTGACTGGTGTGCTGGTCGACGGAAAGGTGGTCGACTACAAGTATCGTCGACCTGGAGCTGGTCGACTAGGGGAGAGGTCGACCTGGTGAGGTCGACTGGAGGTGGTCGTTGACCTGGGTGGTCGACGGGCAGGTGAAGGAGGTGCTGGTCGACCAGGCATGGTTGCCCGGTCGACCAGGCATGGTTGCCCGGTCGACCGGGATACCCGGGCGACATGTGCGAAGGTCGCCGGGGTGACTTCTGCGAGGTCGACCTCAAAAATGGTATCCCGAGGTCGACGTGGCTGGTGGGCCCAGTAGCTGGCGTGGAGTATGCCAGGCGTTTGCGCTGTGCTTGTGACGAGGAGTGGCGTACCAACCAGCTGCACGCACCTGCGAAGCAGATGCTTCGTTGTCCTGCGGGTGCAACGCTGTACAGCCGACCTGCCGCAGCGCTGGCACACCATGGACTTGCAACGTTGGCAAGCCGCGACTTTGCTCTGCTGGGGCGCAGTCAACCAAGTCGTGCTGGCACGCGGTCGACCGTGCTGCGTTGGAAGTCGACTAGCAGCTTTGCTAGGTCTGATGTAGTCTTGCATGCCAATGTTGTTGCTATCATTTTCTGAACTATTGTTCTCAACTTTTGCTAGTGAAACTCTGGCAGTTTTGCCATGTGAACGCACAAGTGTTAGAGAACGACTAAGGAACGAACGCAGAGACCTCCTAGTCGGTGCCTAGCCCGTAGCCTAGCTCTCGTTGAACGAGTTATCTCCGCATGGTGCGGTGAGCGTGGACGGCACAGACTTACCTTTGAGTCAGGGCGACGTAGTGGTCACTTACCTATTGCGTGTTTTAGGTCGGCAGTTGTGTGGTAGTCACTATGGTAGGTGCCGTAGTTGACACGGGGGTGGTGGACACCCTGGAGGCACGGTTGGAGAACGCGAGGAGACGCCATGAGGCTAACGAGTATGGCGACCTGCCTTTGGCAGTCGTCGAGGCTGGCATCCGTGCCGTGTGGTCAACGGAGCACCCTTCTCGGCCTGCATCTCCTCGACCGGTGAACACCGAGGGCGGCGTCGACGCGGGCGTCAACGCCGGTGGTGGCCAAGTTGGCAGTAGTGCGGGAGGCACGTCGAGGCAGCGAGGTGTGATACACGCCGATGAAGTCGGTGCCGTTCAGACGCGAGAGATGCAACCGTCGGCGGCTGCAGGCTCCTCGCGGGGCGACGTCGGAGGACGTCGAAGCGGATTGTCGCCTATGTCGGCGACCCACGTGTTAGCGGGCGGGATTGCACCGAGCTACGGCTACTTCAAGTTTACGCCGAACAGGAACTTGGTCATCCCCCCGCTGATTGGTCGACCCGACATTCTCATCTGGATGGAAGCCATCCAGCCCCAGCTGGAGATGGCCGGGATGATCGGCTTCGCCCATGGCACTTTGGCGACGCAAGAGGACCCCAACTTGCGTGTGGAGTTTCACGCTGTGCCGTTGCTGACCTTCACGGTCATCTCGCGGTGCTGCTCGCCGGACGTGCAGATCGTGTTATGTGATGCTATCACTTGCATTCACGTCTGTCTGCCTCCCATCACATGTTCATGCATTGCATGCATGGTGCAAGCGTGTGCAAGAATTTGTGCTTGATGTGGTTTGGATTCTCTGAGTGTGTGTGATTGAGATTTGGATTGAGCAGATATCTGAAGTGACTCCTCTGCTCAAGAGCTTTCCGACGAACCAAGAATCGTCGCGATCGGAGCAAGATCGAGGAAGTTATGATCGTTCAAAGATTTGTTTGTGATGCGACGACTTTGGAAAGTTGTGAAGTGACTCAATATGGGGGTTGAGAAATTCGTCAAAATCACTGTAGATGCTGCCAAGTGGTTGAGAGGAGCCAAACCAAGTTGGCAAGTGTGGCCAAGTTGGGTAAGGTGGATGGCATGGGTTAGGAAAGTGACAAAACCAAAAGTGGGAGGGGATTTGATGTGCTTATGGGGTTTCCCTGGTTGGGGACTCCTTGGGGACCTTCCCTCTCGTCCTCCTCTTCCTCCCACCTGGTTTAGTGATACTCCAACTTTTTTGTATGAACTTGTGAGTTAATTGTGATTGAGTTAGTTGCTATGGCAGCATACGCCCTAGTGCGCCGAAAATCATAACTCGAGATATGCTTCATCATTTGATACGATTCAAATTGCGAAAGATAGCCACGGTCAAGGGCTACAAAATATTGTCGACATCGTTTCTTGTGAACTCGATATTTCTGTCCAGAGTTGTAGACCAACGAATTTGAGTTATTTTCGGCTCCTAATCTTCCTAGACTCCGTCCTTAGTCTCTAACAAGTGGTATCAGAGCAGATTAAGGACCTTGTGGGGAGTCTACCGAAGTGTGAAGGCCCTCCTAGACCCACCATGGCTTGTGGGCGTGCCTAAGTGGAGTTCTAGGGGTTGCATGTGACTTCCGCTAAGGGGAAACTATGCCGAAATTTCGTTGGCGCCGTCACTTGTGAAAATTTTATGGATCTACATTGTGACCAGCAAAGGGGGGAGCTGAAATCTATGATTGGGAGCAGAGGAGATGAGTCAAGGGAGTGGAGAAGCAGCTGAGAAGAGGAGTGAGCCGCCACCATCCAAGATTGAGACGTTGGATGGTTCCACCTACGAGGAATGGAGCAGGCGGATGAAGAGCGTTTTCAAGCGCTACAAGCTGCTCAAACTTGCGATGGGAGAAGAGAAAATGCCAGAGGAAGGAGATGCTCGCGAGCCTTGGATCGAGCGGAGCACGGTGTTGTTCGACCTCATCTTGCAATCAGTCAAGAACGACATGTTTCAGCACATCAAGGACTTGGTTGAGTTGGACGACTCCGGTCCAAAGGTGTGGAAGCTACTGCGCGACGTGATTCAGCCCAACACGCTGCCCATGGTGATCGTGCTCGAGAAAGAGCTGGCGGCCATCTCCATGCGATTGGGAGATGATGTGAAGCCGATCCTTGACAAGATCAAGGACACATATTCGAGGATGGCAGCGGCGGGCAGTGAGGTGTCGCAAATGCAGCAATGCACCAAGATCATCTTAGTGCTCGACAACTCGTGGGACAACCTAATCCCCACCCTCAACGTTCAGCAGGACAAGTGGACGCCTGAGTGGCTACGGCAGAAGATCTTGCAGGAGGACTTCCGCAGGCGCCACACGGGAGGTGGTGCTGCCAACAAAACTGCTGAGGGGTATGGAATTGCAGGAGGCAGCAGAGGAAGAGGGGGAGGGAGAGGCCGAGGCCGTGGGAGAGGTTTTGGCAGAGGGAGAGGCCGAGGTGACTACAACGAGGGGCATGGGAGCTCTGGTGGCAGGGGGAGCACCCGAATGGAGGGTGCGTGCTGGTATTGCAAGAAGGCTGGACACCCATAGTTCAAGTGTTTTAGTCGGCCTGAAGCATAGGCGCCTCCAGGCATGAAGCCTCCAAGTGGTGAACACGCACGAGTTGGCGCTGTACAAGGTCCAGGTGCAAAAGGTGAAGGTGCACATGGTAAAGCTGACCCTGGGATCTTCCTCATGGTTGAGGATGTGCAAGGGAGTGGGGGTGATGTGGGATCAGTTGGGAAGGTTGTGATGCACCCCCTCACTCATTGGGTGATCGATTCAGGTTGCACAAGTCACATGACCCCACGGGCAGATTTACTTGATGAGGTAAAACCTCCTAGGAAGATCAAGTTTGTGGCTGCCGCTTCACGTGCTTTGCTCCCTGTGATTGGTGTGGGGAATGCCGAAGTAATGGGAGGTAAAGGGGAGCT